GCCTGTTACAAACTGGTCAGAGGGGACCAGCAGGCATTGGGGAAGTCCCTGTTCCCCCGAGCACTGCCAGGAGTGACGAGGCATAACGGTCAGAAGCTGGCAGAGGGTAGATTTAGGCTAGATATCAGGAGGCGCTACTTCACGGTCAGGGCGGCTAGGATCTGGAACCACCTTCCAAGCGAAGTGGTGCAGGCTCCTACCCTGGGGGTCTTTAAGACAAGGCTTGACAATCACCTTGCCGGGGTCGTTTGACCCCAGTACTCTTTCCTGCCATGGCAGGGAGTCGGACTTGATAATCTGCTCGGGTCCCTTCCGACCCTACAAACTACGAAACTATAATTCAGGTATTATTAGGAGACAAGGGGAAAAACTAGGGAGTGGTCACCAGTTCTTGGGGATAGGATGAAGGAGCATGAGTTGGTGGGGAGGGCTGGTGAGACACATACAAGGGTGCCTTACTGGGACCAAGACTGCTCTTGCTATCATTTTCAGACTGCTTTTTGGAGCTGGTTTTGGACTCGTTGGGCGATGGTAGTTGTCTGCTTCCCAGTTTGGTGGCTGCTCTTGCAGAAGCTATGAGTACTTGTTTAGAGATTAATTCTAGATTGAGGACTGTTCTTTGATGTGGTAGTATCCTATTTTTTAAAGATGTTCACTTTAAGCAATGAAGGCTGCCTGTGCCAGCTACTAAGAAAGTTTTCAGGGATCTCTGGCTGGCATTAGCACTGGTGTTAGAGGAGGTTTTGGTCAGTGATGACCAGGGATCCTGGATTCTGTGTTTAAAAATCACAGATTCTCTAATTAAACCCCCCCAAATCCATGATTAAATAAAACACTGATATATATCTAGTTATCAATTGAACACAATGTTTTATTGATATATTTACAATTTTAAAGCATTTTGGAAGCCTACCAGAGCCTCAGTCACTATAATAAAATAAATTTGGGCATTTGATTTTGGGTTTTTTATCATGGAAAATCAGAGCTCCCCCTGCCCCCTTCATTTTCCAGGACACAGGTCCAGGCCCCTCACTCCCTACCCACAACTCCCCCACCCCTGCTGGTGCCCCTCACTCCCCAACCATAGTGAGGTGCCCCCTGCCCACCTGGCATTAGCAGGGTGCACAGCTCTGTGCCTGACCCCTGCTGCTGCCAGGCGGGCAGAGAGCACCTTGCCATGCTGGTGTGGGGCTCGCAGCAGTGGCACTGAACTTCCCCGCCCTGCTTTGCCATGCTGCGCTGGGTCCCGTCTGCTGGGGTGTGGAGGCGCCAGGCGGAGAGCCTGAGCTCTGAGCTCACAGTGGGCAGCCCGCCTCCTCCCCTGCCCTGTACACAAGTCTGGGGAGCACGTGCCCTCCATATCTCCTCTCCCCTCCCAAGAGTGTGCGCAGTGGTGGAGAGTCAGCCCCACCGCCTCCTTCCCATGAGCCTTGTGCTGCTCTGTCCCGCTCCCCTGCACTCCCTGGAGCTCTGCCAGCCTACAAGGGGAAACCCACTGTTTCCCTGCATTTTTCTCCTTTTAAGGTGAAAATCCGGGTTTTTCTCCTTAAAATTAGAAAATCCAGGTTTTACTGCATTTTTCTGTGCCAAATAGAAAACCTGGATCCCTGGTGATGAGGGAGCCAAAAAGAAAAACTAGGGCCATCTCCCTTTCTGGGCTCCCAGCTCTCATTTCTGTCTCATACCCATCATTCCTTTTAACTTCTTCCATTCTGCTTCCCCCATCCTGTGTTTTAGGACTTTTTTTTTGGTTAAAACCACCATGGTCTTGTATCAGTGGAAAGCAGGTAGCAGAAAAATACATTTCTTGTCTCTCAGATTTTTTTTTTTTTATATAGTTTGGTTCATTTATACCATGCTGTCCAGCTGGTCACATCCAGCCTCCAAGTAGTTAACCTGCCCTTGCTGGGCTCCCAGTCCGGGCACTGCTCCCTCCACCCCCTCCTGCTGGTGCTGGTGGAGTCTCTGGACTCCTCCTCCCTCTTCCTGCTTCAGCTGCCTATCCCTGCCCTGGGGGATGGCCAGAGTGGGGAACGTGGTGCAGCCCATGGGGCTGAAGGAGCTCACAGTTGAGAGGCTGGGTGGGGGTAGGGACTGAGGATCACTGTTGTAGTGGGAGTGCAGGGGGCCACGTTGTGTAGTCCAGTGCAGTGATCACATGGTCCAGGGCTCCTGGGGCAGTGGAGCGGGGGAGGCTAACAGTGCTCAGCCTGGCCACTCAAGCTGGACAGCTCCCATTTTATAAACATGAAAAATCTTACTATAAACTCTGTTTAAGGAGGTAGGGGCTGTTGCAGTACCTTATGCAATGGAAGTAAGGTAACATTTACCTTTTTAGTGTGGAAACCTTTCAGAAGGAAATGAAAAGGAGAAAAGAGGAGAAGTCTGAGAAATGTTCTGATAACTATTACTAATAGGTTTGTTGCTGTAGGAGCACATGGGTCCTCAGTCAGATCTGAGCCCCATTTTTCCTAGACATTGCAGAACCACAGAGTCAACTGCTTGACTGACTTTGTGGCTGCAGCCAACAAACAGAAACTCTGCCAAGTAAGAAATGTTCTATTCATGCTGTATACCAATGAATATTGTTGGTTTTTTTTAATTTCCTTTTTTTAAGGGGTTGCACAAACCGGTCAACATTATGGTACACCAGTACATTACATTACAGTGTCTGTTATTTCAATTATAACACATTAATTCCCACAGCATCCAATTGGTTTGCTGCATTATTTTTTTGATTTAGCAAATTACATTCAGACTTGTTTCCACCTTAACAAAATACATCTTAAAAAGTTGTTTTTTCTTGGTTACAAATGTTAAATTATATAAAATACATACAGTACAGTTATCAGATGCAATATGTAAAAGTCAGTATGACTCAATTTCCCTGTAAGCATGTAAGTAGTCCCATTGACTTCCAGGATTAAGCAAATATGTAAATATTTGAGGACTGACGTCTGAAGGTCCTAAGCTTACAGTCTTTACCCTTGTGACTGTTTGGACACTACTGTTGGCTTCGGTGGGATTGCTTGCATAGGCTCATATTGCAGGATTTTTCTTCATTTGTTTTAAGGACAGTTTGTATGCTTTAAACATAGCACATTGTCCTTCATTTAACTCCATAAATATAAAATAAAAATGGGCCTGATCCAAAACCCATTGAAACAGAGTGGGAAGCTCCCATGAATAGGGAGTATTTGCATCAGGCTTTAACATTTGTTTTGTAAAGCAAAGAATAAATGATTAGTTTCACAGTCTGCATTTCCAGATGCATGTTTTCTTAGTTGCATGGGAACAGTGCTGTTTCCAGGATTTGTGCCAACATACATAGGTGGAAGTTCAGGCTTAAATACATAATACCGTAAAATGCAGAATTACGCGCCTTCCATTCATGTATAGAAATGTTCCAAAACTATAACTTGAGACTAATGTAGAGCTAATATACTTTATAAAGTAAAATCCATTTATCCTTCAAAATTAATGGTTAAATGTTTTGTATACCATTTTGCTAATCTATTATTTCTGTTGAAACATTTTGAGTGTTTTCCTCTATACTCCTCTATCTGTATGTGAATGCAGTGACTCAGAAATCCTTCTCCCCATTCAGTACAGCCTAAGATCTCAACAGGTATTAAGTTCCTAGATATTAGCGTTTGAAAATGGAGGCCAAGTCCTTCACTTTAATAATACTCACCAAATACACCATAAGACTGTAGTAAACACCTGTTTTGTTTTGTTGAGTAGATGTAATATATGTACGCCATATATTTTGGCATGCAGCGCTTATGCTTGTATCGAGGAAGTTCATATTGTGTTTCATGTTCAGTGGTTATATTCATGTTCAGTGGGTGTATCTGAATTAAACACATCAGAGTGAGAATTCAGTCAAAACTTTCTAAATCTGTAGGATGTATCATGAGTTTTGTTGACTTAAGTAAGTAGAATCTCCCTTTCTGAGGCTTCCAATACAGTCCCTTTCTCCGTTCTAGTTTTCCTTTTGATCTCGGTTTGGTGTATTTTCCATTCAGGTTTGTTTCCCCGCATCCACTGTGCCACCAGCCACCTAAAAAGGAAATTTTAATGTCCATTAATCCAAACTTTACTTTTCCTTCCTGACATGACAGGATTAGTTACTGACTAAACCCTGTTTTTTAAGATGAGTTTGTTTTTTTTCTAGGCCAGATCCATCTTCTGTTGAACCTGTAATTTTTTTACAGATGCAGAATATGTTGCACTTAAAAATTCGGTGGCCAAATAAAGACAACTAGGAAAACACTTAAGTTTTTTTTAGTTTCCTGCATCCTCATAAGGCTTAGGATCACTGGTGATTGGCAAGCTATCCTTATAAGGATACTCTATTTAGAAAGCACAGAACTCTGAAAATCATTTGCTCGTTTGTGCTAGGATCACCAAGCTGACTTTCCTTAGCAGCATTCCAAATGCTAGTAACACTTTAAATCGGAATTAATTAAAAAAACTAGTGCTGGTTTTATGTGCTAGATCATAGTGCAGGCTGTCCTGTTGGCTTAAGTCTGAACAGTCTGCTGCTCCTGGTTTTGTGTTTTTAAGTATGAATTGGCAAAAAAAACAATTAGACTTCTACCCTGTTCAGATTCTATAGAAGAAAGCTTCCAAAAGCTTATATCTGTCCTGCTGGTTTTAATATGACTATCACTTATTTTGTAAATTTTACTAGAGCTCAGAATCAGGTTTTAAATGGAACTCAGCCTTAACTACTATGGCCTTTTGGTTAAGGTGAAAATAGAGTCCATTCTCTGTTGTATGCAAGGAGGGATGACTCAGAGAAAGCCAGACTGGATTGAGGGTAGTGGTGCCTAATCTTCTGACCCTCCAGGCTAGATGAATGTCATGGGCTTGATCTGTGAGCTGGATATTGCACAAGTAAAGTGCATGGGGTCCACTTGCAGTTGTGATTCAGTGTTCCAGTCTGACCCTGCATATAGCCCAACTGTGCACCAGCACACTTTAGTGAGCAGGGCCTCATTATCTGGCCCACAGGGCTCCCCATAGGTCTGGATATTTGGCAGCAAGGAAACAGCAATTCACACTGCCACCATCCCTCCACTGCCAAATTTCTTGACCCATGGGCAGCCCTGCAGGCCAGATGGCACAACTCATGCCAGAAGCTGCAAGGACCCATAGACTGAAGTCTAGAGTACTGGACTAGGCTCAGGCAACTTGGGTCAGATCTGGACTTGAGAGGCCAGTGGAACATACCCTTCCATTGATGCCGGTGGGTCAAGAACTCACCCCAAGTTCTATTTCTGTATCTACCACTTTATTATCTAGGCAGTTATCTAACTTCTCTAGCTGTAAAGTGAGGTAATAATGCTCAGGGATTCTGAGGTCTGTGGAGGAAAAGCACTTGATAAGTACTAGGAATGGTAATTTTACTTTCTTGGTTTGTAGAGGAGAAATTCTGTGATACAGTAGTACAGCTATGGGAGGGTAACCAGGGCTGCAGCCCTGGGCTTTTCCTTTGTTGGGGGTCACAAAAGCAGCCATTGTCACAGCAGTAGCTGATTGCATCACCACAATTGTCACGGCACAAACCAGTGTTGCCTTGGTCATCTGATCACGCCAATGTATAGTTTGGCTGGCATGTGGGCTCAGGCTGGCACACCAGATTGCACCTGCAGGCAGGACCCACTCACTGACTCTGCACAAGATCTGGCCCACGGATTGACTCTCTGCTACTTATCTGACCCACAGGGCTGGGTGGTTGGGCATGGAGCTACATTGCTGTGGTTCTACTGTGATGCAGTCTTTTCAGTATCCTGATGTCTATAATTGCTAAGTCATGATAAGTAGCTCCCCGGTAATTCATGGAAGTTATGAGAATTCTGGGAGGAGGGGTTGTTACATTAGATATCTGCTCAGAGTACTGATACCTGAATAGTTTTCTGGATAGGTAGAGTCTCTCTGTGTGTTATCACCATGATCCATTGTTGAGAACTTCATTTCTGTCTCTTCAGTCAGGGCATTGGGAATATTTCCTGAGATCTCAGAAAGGTAGAGGGTATAGTCAGTTTCTGGACTGCCCAAGGTGAATGTGTACTCAATGTAACGTTTATTAGCCTTCCAGTCTTCCAGCTCAATACGTAAAATGTTGTCAGCTTGTTTAGCGATGGAATACACCTTATTCAGTCCCAGCCAAAATTCCCCTGCAAAGGTATGTAGTATGAATAGTATTAGTATAGAGTTAAGTCAGGGCAAAATTATTTAAAAAGGTTTATTCATGGCTTTAATTAAATCAATAGTATGAGTCTTGGGAACTCTTGATCTTTTCTGAGGGTCTCCCTGAAACATTCTTTTTGTTTACATCTTTTTTAATTATACGCTAGTGATCAATGAAAACTAGATACGTAAATGACATGTAACTTCTCTGAATTTTCCAAGCTCTTATGAAAGTCTGCAAGGAGAGTCAAGACATTTTTTAAAACATAATGGAAACTGTGTGATAAGTGAAGCAAATGACATATATAAAACTTAATTGTAATGGAAATGTATTTTCTTGAAATGAGATTTTGCTGCCCCTATGTACAAAAGTTAATTTAACTTGATCATTTTTTCTTCAGCACACTTTTTAGCAGCTGGGTTTATTGGTTAGCACATAATTATATTCAGTCATCAGCATCCTATAGTACCCATTGTTGATGTCCAAGCCCAATAGACCCTGACAATAAATAAAAAGAGGCACACAGGCAAGATGGTACCAATTTTTCAAGAAATAAAAGACAAGCTGTTTGAGAAAAATAAAAGGGAGCAGAATAACCAGGAAATAATTTATTTTGAGACATAGCACCCTACAATTTTATATTCGTCTTAAAGATCTGCATAGGCCAGAATTATATGTTGGTATCACTGTATAGTAGTCTGATACTTTGCACTTAATAAACTTTTTTTGTTCTACAAATCAAAGCACGCAACTCGTATTTTAATATCAGTAGTCTTACCTTACAAATACAGATGTTCTCAATGGTTCTACAACCTTTTTGCAGACCACCTGAATGGAGCTCGTGGACCAGTGGTGGCCCATGGGCCGTAGTTTGAGAACCTTTGCTCTAGATGTCTCCAGTTCAGTGCTCTCTCTCTAAGGTATACATTCCTGCCATTGTTGGGGACTGGATACAGTCTATATTGGTCTGATCCAGAAGAGCACTTCTTACATTCTTAAGATTGGTTGCTTTTGAATCTGCCACCTGGGCCTTGCCATAGCAAACTCAAATCTTCCAAGAGCAGTTCCATGTTATTTTAAAGAAAATCTGCTGGATGGGTGGGCAGTTGACCAATGCCTGATGTTAAAATCTGCTTTGATAGCTGATGATTAACCTATAAGCATGGGCGTTTCTGAACCAGCCACAAGCGAGGTGATGTGATTGGCTGCCAATGACTGAGAAACAGCACTGTGTGAATAGACTAAAAGCCTCTCATCTTACGCTGTCCTGAGGTTTGAACCCTGGATGTGGTAACTAGCTTACATGAAAGTGTGGTGTAGAAGAAAGAAGTGCTGCTGTGTTGGTTTTTCCTTTTAGTGTGCATCTCATCTCATCTCGCTTCTAGATTCGGAGGAATCTAGAAGTTTGAGTTGAGTGATTTTATAAAATGAAAATCTAAACAAATACAATAATGTTGAGAGCTGAAAGGATTCCTTTGGACCTTATTTCAGAAAATTGCCTAAGCACATACCTAAAGGTAATGCTGGAGAACTTTGTTGAATTAGGAGCCTTCTGCTTTCTGGTGTGCAGTGTCCAGTGTCTTACCTTAGGTATTTTTACTTGTTTTCTTCTGCTGCCCTGTGAACCTGCTAGTTTCACCCCAGATTGCAGCCTCTACAAGGCTTCTATTGCTACACACTAATGCTTGTGAACCCTCTAGTTTCACCCCAGAGTCCAACTTCTAAAAGCAGGTACTATCCTATAAAATACGAAGAAGTGTGTGGGGATCAGGGAGAAAGAAAAGAAAAGAGCATCTTTACCATGGAGATCTCCAAAACCATTTACGTAGCTCCCCCAGGTTTGGTTGAAATCTTGTGATCCATCAGATCTCCTTTGAATTACTGTCCATGGCCTGTCTGTGAATAACAATAGGAAGTGAACTGTCAGTCTGAAGATTATTTTAACTGTTTGCTTGAGCTCTCACGAGGTAGACCAGAAGACAACAAGGGAAACTAAAAATTTAAGAACAGTACTCTAGAACCTAGATCACTCTATCTGGGTGATTCACAGAGGGTTGCCAAATGGGAGAGAAACTGCTCAGCTGTTTGCCGTAGCTTTTATTTCAAAGGACACTGCTTCTTTCATTGCCCGCAGCTCATCAGCAGTCATGACAACTCTTTGCTGTGTCTGTATATTGCTCTCTCTATATATCTTTCTGTATCTACCTCCTCATCTATACTGGGGAGAGGGAGAAGTAAGAAACCCCACCCTGCAAAGTAACTCAGTTCTACTGCAGCTGGCTATTTAATAAATACTTTGCACTGTCAGTAAAATCTTCTCTCCTGTTAGCTCTTGACCACTACACCAACTTCTGCGTGGAACATATGAGACTTGTCCATGCTGCTTACAACTACTTTTTTTCTTCTTTTTTTGAACCCAGGTCATGACATCCTTGCTTAACCTGGTCACAACAAACATCATGTTGTCCCTGCAGGAACTTTTTATTTTTACTATGCAACCCTGTGCCAACAGTGTCGTCTTGTCCAAACATATCACGTTGCCTCTGTGTGTTTTTGTATCAGCATATTCCTAGAAATATCCAGGCATTGGTGCCATAGTGTTTGGTCAGAGAAACTGGAGGGATGTACACAGAGCAGTACCACTGGTGTGATAAGAAACAGGATGACAAACAGGAAAGGAGGAGAGCAGGGCAAAATGGTGGTATAAGCACAGTCCAGGAGTCTAACACATACCACAAAGTAATAGCACTGTGATTTTGGTGTTAAAAGACAGGCCTGCGCAGGTTGTTTGGAAGGATCTAACATGGGGAGTCGTATAAAATGACTAACTCTGCACTCAGAAATAACCATTTAAGGAGCATACATAACTTTTTTTTTTTTTTTTTAAACGTTAACCCTTTTAACTAAGGAAAGATTCCTGGGATCAGCTGTTTTAATGTAGTAAAGATGCTTGATGTTTGTAATACAGTGAGTTTTTGGTATTGGCAAGCATTGTTTAGGGTGGCCATTTGACTCTTTGGATTAAAATCTGTTTCCTATCATTACTTTTTTAATGTATCTCTTACTCAGGCTAAAGAATAGACCTTTGCTGGCACAAAACAAAGTAGATGCCATTTCTTTTAATTTTCTTTGATATTTTAAAAGACAGGGAAGTGTTGGCAGCCTCATGATATCTGTCCACTGTCTGTGTGGTCTATAATATGTTTTTGCATGCTTTAGGATGGTACATGGTTCTACTTTATCAGTAAATTACTTAAAGGGAGAATTAGATTGCTGGCCTTACCCAATTTCATTTCACAGTAGACGCTGAAGGCTTCAGACCCATTGGGCTTAATAGTGTAGATGCCACTAGAGTGTTCTCCAGCGTTGTATATGGCAGTACAGTCTGTAGCAACACCTGAAAAAGCAACAAAAAATTATACATCCTTTTTTATAAGCAGGAATTTTGAAGGACAAAATCCAGGGGTATTTCTCTTTATCAAAATGTGTGAAGCAGAACAGAACCTGGAAGAGATTTCTCAGCAGTGGCTTTCTTCTATAACAGTTGCATCTTTGAAATGGGCAGATTAATTTATTTGTGAGGGCTGAATATTAATTCAAATGAAATGTGGACAGCTGGTGTTTTCTCAGGTCGACAAGGTTTCTCTTTAGATCATCTTAGAAAATTAAGACTAGATTGTTGGTAGTTAGGATTTTTTCCCAACAAATTTTGAATCGGTTAATGATTGACTTAGTCTGAATTCCCATCACTAAAATTGAGAAATTCTAGTCTGCTTTAAAAGCCTAATCAGAGTACTGTAAGTGGCATGTGTAAAATGAATTTGATGCTTAGTCCATTTCCTCATGGATGAGTATTGCAGACATCATCACCATTGGCAAAAAAGGACAGAGTGGTAGTAGTAACAAAGCATAATCCAAGAAGAGACTAAAGATGCATTAACTACTTAAGATTTAACTTTTTATCCTCCAGATGTTGTCATTATGATGTGGAAGAATTTGCATTGTTGCACTTTTTCATATGATTAAATGGATGAGTCAGTCTCCAAATGCCAAAATCCAGCCTGTTTCATAAAACATGATATGGAAAATAACAATCTTCACTGTGCACCTGCAGATTACTGCAAATATAATATATCATGTACTCGTATAAAAAGTCATTGTATGATCTTACCATGAAATTCTTGTTCTGTAGCCATTGAATTAGGTGAAGGAGTGGGGATGGTCTGTGGTTTTGTTTGCTTCCAAGAAAATGCATTTTCTGTGTTTTCTTGGAAGTCTGTGTTGTTTAGCTGAAACAAAGCATATTAATATATTATTAGTCTGCCAAGAATTGGAAGTAACATGTACATATATATTTCATTTAGCAGTCCAAGGTTATAGCATTAATTTTTATTATGAATTTAGTCACTTAAAATAATCAATTGGAAAATGTGAAAAAACACATGAAAAAGTCTTTAAAATATTCTACAGATTTCCTGTATGCTACTATTGATATGCCTCTTTGAAACACATCTTTGATCAGTGAAACACTTTCATTGAGATAAGTGATGTAGGTTACCTGTCCATGTGAGATATATATTACTGAGTAGATTGTCTTAACTGACATAGTCTAGAGAACTAGTACCCACAACTAAATAGTTTAAGGAACTGTGGAACTGGCATGTCTTTTCCTCACTCCTGTTCTGGGGAGTGTAATTAAACATGTTCTTGTCAGTTTCAAAATCTAGTCAATTACACCCACTGCTGCATTAACCAAGATTAAGTGTTTTAATGTGGGAGCATGGGGTACTCTTGATGTGAATATAGCAGAAGAAGAGGGAAGGATAAAACAGAAGTTAAAAATGGGAGTAAAGGGAGGGGAAGAGAGCTGGTCTGAGATGAAGAAGAATAGTGCTATAGACAATAAGAGAATTAGAGAGGAAAGTGGCTACTGCAGTGAATGTTCCCCTTGTGCTTACAGTTAGCTCATGGTACAGAGCCCTGTCACAGCCTATCAGTGGCCTGTCCCCCAACTCCATACAGCAGCAGCACAGCTGGTCCACAGCCACAGAAATCCTACCAGCTACATTTTGACCAAGGGAGCTATTTTTTCCGTAAAATATCAGAGATAAATTCTGCAAAGGAGAAGTTAATTCAGAAAACCAGTTACAGTACCTTATCTTCCAGCTCTGTGGTTTCACCGTGCTGCTTATCGAGTTGTGCGTGTTGGTCTTGTACAATTTTGAGAAGTTGTCTAATGTGGTTGTCTTGCCGCTCTACAAAACTCTATGGAGAGAGCAAGGAAGAACAAAACTGAATAAAGAACTTAGGCTATATGGTTAGGAAGGTTAGAATAATGCCCTTAGCATCATGTCCTTCAACTCAGTACTTCACTGGTGTCAATTTCTAAAGGCAAAACCATTTAATAACAGTCATTGTTTGCCTGAATATTGCCTTTCTTGCTGTTTATAGGGCAGAATGCTTTCGCTTCTGAAATGAACACATTTTGGATCAAATTCTTGAGTCCTTATTTGAGAAAACAAATAATCAGCTTCAGAGGCCTTCAATTGACCTTTTTATTACTAACTGTAGCTTTG